GCCATCTTAGAAAATCTCAGTTTTCTACAGCAACCTTCCCTTCTATGCTTCGCCCGGGGAGCTTCGTAGATGTGACGAAAAGATGAAAAAGGATATCAACATCATCAAGTGTGAGATGAACCAATCATTTATCAGTGGATTGCATGAGTGGGAAGGTAGGTGGGTCAATTCTCTGTGCCGGGATTGCTCGTATCAGAGGTACAACTGAAGCCTAATCATAAAAATGTGCAGAAGATAGTCTCATGGAAGTAATAAAAGAAAAAAGTGAGCTATGGGACCAATGCATCACCCATAAAACCTTGTGGTGGCCAATGCTCTGCGATTGAGTTGCATTCGATTCGGGTCGCCGAAACACAGCTACCAGAAGAAGGTAAATAACGAGGAGTTCACAACTGGGGCAAACTGAGTCCATGGGAAGGAAAGTACGAGCAGACCGTAACAGAAATTTTAAAAAAGTCATATAAATTAGTGAAATGGGTAACTCGGGCAGATATTAGTAAACCATTTCAGTCACATGAAAACTATGAACTGAAGCATAGTGCAAGATCCACACTTAGAAACCAGCAGTCATTCTGATTTAAAAAACAGCCAACGAGGGAGAGGGCTTGAAAATGTTCATTTTCAAGGGCCAAATCATCCTTGTTCAACACAACACCTGTAAGCCAATATGGCGCATCCAAAAGCTTCAGTATGGTCGGGGGTGGGTGTCTAGGGTTGCGGCTGGTCACCCTTCTCTGGCACTTCGCGAAATGCTCCCATACGACCAAACGTCTCTAACAGCCTATGGTGAGGAAGCCCCACTATGCCTTCTCGTGGCGGAGTTGTTTTCCTACCAAAGTGCGAGGACCAAAAACCGACATCTGGGACTATAACCGCGTTGGTGAACCACTGGCAGTTCACCTAGGGGAGTTGGCCAAAAACCCTGATTCTCGACCAACCAAAAGGCGTATGAACCACACACATCTTCCTGGTTTTGGCAATGTTCACCGCCTCGATTTGGTATCGAGGTGTACTGGGCACCTTGGACGTTTGACCCCATCCAAATGGCGTATGATCCGGTGAACTGGACACCGGCCCCCAATAGATTGCGGTTTTCACACACCGCCCGCAGTCCTGCGGGTCAGGCTTTAGCTATCCAAAGGCTCCGGTTGTGGAATCTTCAAGATAATTCACCTGCCTGGATAACCTGGCAGTATTCAGCCCACAACCCAATCATGCAGCGTTATTCTTTTTCATGAAGATAATTATACCATGATTTTTTTGGCACAGTATGGCGTCAGACGCGTGCGATATATATATATATATATATATATATATATATATATATAT